TGGGTTGATTTTGAGTTAAGGAATGGTATGATTCTCATTATAGTTAGGTCTGGGCAAACTGGTTCAAGTAAATGATCTTGTGTTTCCAGCTTTGCAAGTGCTTGGAAATATTTTAGTCTTTTTTTCCCCCCTTTCCCTGAATTTAGTTGAAAAAATAAAAAGGAAAAAAAAAAAAAAGCTGTATTCCTGGCTGGAGACACTTTCATGCCAACTTTCACCCTGGAGCAAATTTTTCATGCCTGAGTTATGAAAACCTCAGAGAAATAAGTGGTGATGTGTTAGGTAAACATCAGAAGACCTTGAACTACAATTTTGCAAGGGGTGTTGTGAACCTGACAGGACAAAAGATTAATCAGACAAAAGCCTCTCTTCATAGCAGTTCATCTGAACAGGGCTGTGGTGTCTTGGGGTGAGTAGGATACAGACACAGGAGACAGARCACCTCACTTCTGCTCATGTTTCAGCTTGCAGAGTGACCTTTAGCAAAAATGCAGTATCTGTAATACCCATTTTTGCAAAGATCCTCGGATAAAAAGTGCTGTGTAGTTTTTAAATATTGGCATGCATTAGCATGCAGATTTGCTCTCCAGGCCCCCCCCATTCCCTTTTCAGACTTTTATACTGTGGAATTAATTACTTGCAAAAGCATAAAATATTTTTGGTTTTTCTGAGTGCTCCTCCTCCTCTCTGCCTTTCTTAGCTCTTATAAACTTTCTAAAAATATGCTGAGAGTGTAATTCATCCTGGGTATAATTCCAGAGATGAAGCCACTTAGGAAGCAATCTTGTAGAAACATAAGGTGAGCTCTGGATATAAGGTGAGCTCTGGAGTATGTGGATACTAGGGGATTTTGGAAAGGATTTATTTTTCACTTGGTTCCTATATTTTTCATCACTGCTTCCTGAAGCAGAGATGCAGTGGCTAATGCAGATGGCATCTGCTCTATGTCCAGAACATTAACTGATATGGTTCTGTTTAGCAAAAACTTCTCAGAAACACAATGTTTTAATCTCTAATAATGCCTGTGGAAAATCAAGAACACAGAAGATCTTTGTAAATTGAAATTAATAATGTTTGTACTGCTACAGTTCTTTTCCAGGGGACTGTAATATAGCATAAGGATACTATACAAAAGAGAAGTTGAATGAAATTGTTTAATCTGTAAGGACCTTTTCTTCTTTTCTTCCCCTTTCCTTCTGTTTATAAACTGTCACATCTGTTTAAATGKAGTGGGGAAACTGAACATCCATCTTTTTTTTATTTTTTTTTCCTGGTAGGAGAACAAACMTGAGGAACTAAAAGACTCTTGGCCTTGGCTATTATTTGGCTCTTATTTTATAAAATAGACCTTTTATACACCCACTTGAACAACCGATGTGCTCATTTAGAAGGGTGTAGAGGAGATTCACCCCAAGAGTAAGGAAAWGGAAAAGAGAGACATATCCACATCTGCTTTGTCTCATTCACAACTAATAGACATGGTAACAGTGGTTGATTTATTGTAAACATCAGTTTGCAGTTTATTAACGCTACATTAAATTACATTTATTTCCTTTGCTTATTTTTCACACCGAAGAGACAATCGTCGCTAGATGATTCATTGATTTGCATTGATACTTCGTAACAAAAATGAAAAAAATTTCATGAATTAAATAAAATGTCATTCAGAACACAAAGAATAAGAAAAAATAAAAGTGCACTTGGTTAAATAAACTAATTAATGGTTTTCTGGGTATACTTAAATAATGAGCCATCTTTCACATTAAACAATTGGCTTTTCTCTAATTAACCAGAGTCCTCAGAATGTTCTTGGTGTGTGGGTTAACCACCATGCTTTTTACTTCCTCACTCCCTGCACACCATTTTATTTTTTCTCCCTAGACAATTTAAATAGACTTATGTATATCTTTTCTCTTGCTAAAACACAACTTCACAGCACTAAAAATATTTGCTACTATTATCAATGGATGCAGAGATAAGCACTGGAATATTACTATTAGTTCCAATCAAGTCCAGCATGTTTTAACAGCACGATGAAATGCAGTAAGATTAAATAATTGAGAAAATTAAGCAGTGTTTGAAGATGGATGCAAGTCTGTTAACATTTAGAATTTGGTGGGGTTTTTTTGGGATAATTGCTCCCTTACTTTATCCTGTAGACTTTCAAAGGAGATGAAATGCTCAAATACGCATTCCCATTCCAGCATGTTCAAATATGGTAATATAACCTTTCCTGAGATCTAGATATGTGAGGGTTGATGAGGGCAAGGGAGTAGTGCCAGCAGCTTAGAACTCGAAAAACATCAGAGCCAGGTGAAATCCTAACCTCACACTTTTCAAGTTTCTTTGTAAATCTGGAACCTCATGTTTGTGAGATGGCAAAGGGATAGGCAGAAGACATTCCCAGGCTCTTCTGGAGTGTCTTAGGTCAAACAATTATTTTATTTTCAAGTTCAAGCTTTTTCAAACTTGCCTCCTTCTCTGTTATTGTTGCCCCAGCCTAATTGTAACTTGGAATTGTTCAAGCCACAGTCTGAATTAAATTAAATAAACTCCATACTTCAGATCCATCAAGCATTTCTGAGTGCATAAACAAGAACTTCTGTCATTAGCCATATAGGATTTTAACTGATTAAGCCAGGACATTTCTTCTAATCACAGATTTCTTTCATATTGCCTCTTGTTGGCTAGATTGAGTCTTGCAAATGTTGCTAATCCAATGAACACTGGCAGTTCTAAATTTTTGACATTTCCAGAGCTCTTTCTCCAACTTCTATGACATTTTGATATCTGAAATGCTATCCTGTCAACATTTTTAAATCAACACCTGATGTCGACATAATTCACATTCACTGCCTTCATTGGGCTTCCATCAGGGTTGAAGTTGGCCCATGAACTTAAACAAAGGCTTGTATTAATGTATTCTTAAGAACTAATTTCAATTACATGTTGCAGTACCAGGCAGTATTATGCAGCTGCCAGTGCATGAATACAAGAATGTCATGAAACCCATAGCTGTTCAACTTTTGTAGTTATTCTGAAATTCATGAAAAGTGGATAAATTGGAGAAATTATTCAGAAACAAATATATTATTTAGAAACATTTTTGCTGTGCTCCATCTGATTGCCTACTATACTGGTGACACAAAAATTTCAATGGGTTTTAATGCACGCAATGAGTACAAAGACAAATCCTTCCCTTCCCCATGAAGTGCCAAGTTCCAATTTTGCACAAAAACATTGTTAAATACAACACCTTACGGTTCATTCACTAATTGTTTTTCTGCATAAGGCATTAGCTCATTCCACCACAGCCTGAGATGAAAGGTTCCCTTATGATATCTAGCCATGGGAGATCAATAAAGCRTACTTTCATTAACAATAAACACCTCTAGTTATTTTCTATTATTTTATTGTTAAAATAAATTATGCTTGAACAAAAGCTTGATATCAAAAGGCCTTTCTTTTGGGTATCTGACACAAGTCATTCACAATATTCTTGACAGATGGAGTTTTGCAACACTCTCATACATTGTGCAGTAGAAACCAACAGACCAAGCAAGCACTTTGTCACAGAAAGTGTCTTATGAGTGCAAATTAATGAAATATGTTGACAATACATGTTATTTCTGCCCATGTAGTTCAGTGATTCTAAAAAAGCATTCACTTTGGGTCAATCTAGGGATTCATCCAACACAATGTCCTTCCCCAAATGGTATCTGTAACTGCAGGTGCAAGGACATAGCAGGAAAAGACATGGCGAATGCATATGATCTTCCCCAGTCATCCTCCTCAAACATCCTTTTATATTCTGTTAACAGGAGCCTGATTTTGGTTGCCTCTTTAGCAACTTAAAGTTGTTTCTTCTACCTCTGGAATCCATGGAAATCTTTATCCTTTTCTTTTGTCAAGAATTTCCATGGGGCTGCTATCTACTGAATAAACACTGCCTTTTGTGTGGTAGAGTCTGGTTTCTTTAAAGGTCCTTAGTATTTGAACTGGAAGATAACAACAGAGATATCTGRGCCTTACCCAAACTCTTTGGGCCACTTGGAATTTTGTAGACCTGACAAAATAATCCTCATCTCCTTAGTCATCCCTGTAGAGATCCTTCAGATGTGTATCTGAAACTCTTCCTGTTATAACATATAATTTTTACGTCACAGTCATAGAATAGCTAATTGTGGATTTCTACTGTGGTACAATAAGGTTTTCTTTTGTCTTCACTCTTTTCTTAAGGGTTCTGAACACTTCATTTACTTTGTGATGACTACTGACTCGATAGTTTTCATGGAAGTGTCTTTAATATTTTAAAGATCAACTTTCTCCACTGAGTAGTAATGATGTGAATGTAAGACAAGTTTTCCCTGTGTGCTTCCCTTTATATCTAGCTACTTACATCACATTTTATCACCCCAGCATTTACTCCATGTCATCCATGATTGTTGAGAAGTGCTGGTTTTTTACTGAATTTTATCCACTGCAAGAAAAGGTCATTTATTCCTAACTTCTGCTTCATACATGTTTCAGGATGTCCAAAAAACTTTTGTCAATTTATGGACAACCAAGGATTCTAAGGGGAAGAAATTTCTTGCAGATGAACATAAATTTCCAGTGGAAGTTTAATTCATTTTAAAGGATTTGTAGTGGGTTTCTAAACTGAATAAACTCAAAGCCATTGATTCAATTCATTTTGATAGGGAGTCTCTTGTAAAATCTTAGAGAAGTTTTTGGCCTGTGCATCTGCTTCTTGACCAAAATGGTTTTAACAATCTCAATTCCTACATAGGCCTTTAAATAGCAGATTTAAGAAGGTACCTAGTTCTTCATAATTTCTGAGAGCATTCTGGGCCAGTTTTTCAAATAAGTGAAACATCCTTTAACAATCTTTCATATGTTTACTAATAAAATGAAATGGAATTATGTTTAAAGCCTATTCTACTTCATGGATTTTAAATCCTTGGAATTTTGCTCTTACTATGTGTTTAAGATATGCAGACATTAGTGTTTTAATTGATTTCAGACAGAAAAAAAAGTAATTCTGAAAGTTATTTTTGCAAGGTTTTTATTTATTTTGGTAAATTAAAGAGCCTCATTTCACAGAGACTATTTTCTTTGGGTCAGGGTCATATCTCTTTGGATCTCTGTAAAATACTTAGCAATGTCCTGAGTGCTAAGATAGTTGGGTTAATTATGGAGTATAAATAAGCTGTTATTTTCTCAAATCATCCATTCTGCAAACTCAGGAAGGTATCTTGGAAAGGAAACTGTTCTTTCCTGCCTTTTCTCCTCCTCCCTTAAGGGTAGTAAGGAGTTATGATATTACAGGTTATTAAAGTAATTGTTTGGAAAGAAAAGTATTACTCGGTGCTGTAGAGGCCACATCACAGGAATAATTTGTGAATTTTTGTTGCCAGTTTTGTGAGCTTTGCTTCTTGTTTAAGAGCCCATCTCAACTTATTCTATACTCTTTTAATTACCAAATAAGAAAACATTATCCATTACAAAATTTTGTAATCAGAATTTGTTTGRTATTTTTGCTGAGGAGGCAGTTCAAGGTCTTACTTGATCTTGTTTTTCTCTAGCTCCTTTTACTCAGTGATTATGAATGTCACACAAACTGGATGCATTTCCCAACAAAATGGCAAATTGAGCCATATAATCCAAATATTTAACAGACTCTGAAATAATGGATGTACCACAACCTGCTTGGGTTCCAGGATCTTTTGTTTAATTTTCTGATATTGTTGAGGCCTAAAAGATGACACAGAGAAGTCAGTCGCATACATTTGCTAATTGATGCAGTAGTGTTAACTTGAATATCATGTGACATTCTGATGCTGGTAGAACTGTGGAAGAGAAATTCAGTGTTAAGAGTATAAGTGTGCTCTTCCTCCTCCTGCCTTTTCTGTGCTGGGTAAAACAATTTTGAATTCAACACCATAACTGCCAGATATATTTGTCTCTAGATACCYACAAAGAAAATAATGTGCTTCCTCTTACTGTCCTTCTTCTCTTTCCTGTAGCTCTGTAGATATTTTCTTAGGCAGACTAGCACATTCATGTCTGCTGTTATAGACACCACCATTTCAGTGACATCAGTGGATTTGTGTCCACCCAGACCAAGGCCCTCAGTTGACCAGAAGGCTCCAAATTGTATAGCCCACACTCTGTGTGAAAGAAATGCATAGGATCCTGCAAAGCTATAGGAAAAGTTTAGATTGCATGTGTATGATGCTAACATGCCAGACATCAAGAAAAAAAAAATTCTTTCTGATCTATCTTGTGCCAGAACTATTTAAAAGACAAATAGGCATAAAGAAGGGGTGCATTTTCAGAAAGTGGAGCAATTCAACATTCTTCATTCAAGGTACATGAGATTTGCTTTGTCATTTGCTTTAGAGAATTGCTCAAATTGGTATCAACAGCAACCAGATGCTGTGAACAGTAAAACCTTGCATACAGAAGTAGAGCTGGGGACTGGGGAGAAAGGGAGGGGCAGGTTGAGCCCTTATAGCTGTTCCCGTGCTAGTCACTTCAGAGATCCCTTCTGACTCCATAGCACCATTGCTGCTCCAGCACTCATTTTTCATCTACTTCGAATCCACAGTTGTCAGTGCAGCCCTCAATATGTTCTGCTTAAATTCTCACCGAATCTCCATGGGTTCCTGTGTCTCTTCACACTGAGAGAGACAAGAGAGAGAGAGAGCAGCAAAGTGGTTAGAAATCTTCTGCCAAACACAGATGGTATCCTGATTGCTCTTTCAGCCTACCTGTGTCTGTCTGTGAAGCTGTGGATGTTRTGGACGTGTGTGAAGAATTTCCAACACTCTCAGATCATTCACCCAAAGGAGAACTTCCATGTGAGTTTTAATATTCACCACATTAGTCAGCCTTGAGAAACAAATATGGCTATTTAGGGTTTATCTCTGTAAAAGTGTGTCTGTGTGTGAATGTGCTTATAAGAAGAGAGAAGCAGAGGAGAAGAACAGGAAGACTCCAAAATTACACAGCAGTCTGCTTTTAAAATGTACTGACAAACACGTTTGCTTGCACAGTGTAGGCAGTCTGTGAAAAATCCCAAAAGCCATGGAAAAAAAAACGCACTGGCTTTACCTCATGGTATCTCAGCACGCTCAGCTATTTGTCCCTCTCCTCCTCAGGATATGAGCACAGTGTGGGACACAATTGCATTATGGCAGTTTAACAAGTTAGTGCCTATCAGCTGATTAGCTGTAACCAACCGTGCGAGCTCTCTTCAGCTGCCCCATTCGTGAGAGAAAGTGCATTAGCTTAAATTCACATACAGTAGATTTCCCTTCCAAGTCAGATCTTTAAATAGGTTTTGGCATACCTGGCAAAGCAAGCTGGTATCCTCTTCTCAGCGCAGAACATAGCCAGTGCAGCAGAGGAAAGGGGAAACTTCCTCCTTGCAAGAAAATAAATCAACCTACCAACAGTGCACTTAGCATTTGGAGGAAAAATCCTTGCTCAACTCCTATAGGTAATCATTTTGTAGAATGAAGCATGAGATTTGATTATCCTCATTATCTTAGTTCAGATAGCTCCAAAAGTTGCTAGTTGTCATGAAACATACAGCCTTTTAAAAAATCCAGTTATGGTATTTGACTTGCTGACCTATTCTGGCATTAAATTGCACAGTATGCCAATTCACTGTGAAAATTCAAGTCCTTTTTTTCCCCTCTATRCATATTACCTCTAGTTCAAAGGAAGGAGCTTTGGATCTCTTACTTTTTTATTTTTTGGTGGGGTGAAACAAAGACAAGGGTTGGTTTTCACTAATTCTGTTCACATACCTTAATTTTTCAACCTTGCCCATTCTACTTATAATATTTTCCAAGCAGAATTCTGAAGGGGTCATTAAAAGGTTTGAGATCTTGATAGCCATTTTTCAATGAACATCCTTAATAGGGGTGTTCTGTGAGCTACATGCAGGACCTGACTGTGAAGTGAATATATAAGTAGAAAGAAGTGTACTTCTTCTTCTCAGGGTAATATGTAAAGACATAGGGATTCTTAGTTTCCATTCTCTTTAGTCATTGCAGATCAGACCAGAATAAAAAGATAAGAAACTGTGCTCTTTCTGGTACCCTGGTTGTGGGGGTTTTTTTTCTGTATCTCTAACTAGCAGACTAATTAATTTAGGGGGTCTTTAAACTTTTGCCATGGAAATAACACATACGCAAACAAGTGGGCAAAAGTTTTAGGTCACCATCTCCTACAACACTCCATGTCCTATCTTCCCTCAGTGTCATGCACTTTATGACAGGGGAGTTTTATGTCCCCATGTGTCCATGTTTTCATACACCTTTTATTCATTCCTTCATTCCCTTTTTTTTTCCCAATTGAGAGCTTCACAGGATGGTTGTCACAGCTGCAGTTCTTGCTTGGCAGCATTTAAATGCATGCTAAACAAAAGTCTCTGTCTTGCCCATCTCAAATACAGGCAAGTTAGTTGATAAATAGCCTTATGCCACCCCAGGGTGTGATTATACTTTGAGATAGCAGCASCCGTAGGATGGGTGAAGGCCCTTTGATTTTGGCCCTGTGTCTAATCATGTGTTTTAACTCTTTCCAAATGCTGGGTTTCTGTTGATCTCAGCAATTCTGTACGTGTTAGGACTGATAYGGTTACTGATATACCTGATAATGTGGCTGGCATCAGTGAAGGAAACCATTTGGTTGGGTTAGACAGAGCTGCACCAAGACTGCATTATTCAGTTAATACGCCAGATCATTGGCAAACTTTTCCACTGCCTCCTTCTCGTGTTTTCTGCAAAGCATTAATGTGGTTGAGAGTCATGATAATCCAATCCATTGGTTTTGGTTCTTGCTAACCTTAATGCTCTTGGTTTCACCTGGGCATGTACTTATCAACTTTCTCACCCCTTTGTGCCACACAGCAAGAGACATGAAGTGTCTCCTGTGTGCGAGTTCTGTCATGTTCCATCATCCAGGTGGAATTTTCATGGATTCCTGGTGTTGCTCTTCAGCACTTCTTTGAGACTTGCAAGCACTTTAGCAAGTGGGCAAGTGTCTATTCTACACTTAACTTTTACTTGTTTCAGTTCAGGTATTGAAAAGTTGTTTTAATATTAGAATGAGAGAACTTCACAAAATTCTGCTATTGGCTCCTGGCGTAGCATGGTAAAGCTTGCACTTGCAGTTTTTGTGCTTCCCATCTATGCTAATATACATTCACACAAGACTGGCAGAGGAAAGTTACTCAATGTAWATTACATTTGCATTGGCTTTAAGTCAGCTTTATACTATCAGAAAGGAGAATAATAAATTCCAAAGCATTTAAAACCACAAATAGAACCAGAAAGTAACTAGTCCTGATTTCCTTGTGTTTATACTATTATAAGTTAGGACTAAATTCATTAAAATAGTTGGGATGATTTTCATTTATACTGTAGCTTTATTATGGAGCTCTGAGGCACCCTATACTTATGCTACAGCTGCAGTAAGGAAGGGATCATATTTTGAGGTTCAGTGGCTCTACATGGGTGCAAGAGAGAGGAGATTGATGAATGCTGGGACTTTATCCAGCACTTAGTGTCTGCAGGACTTGGGTCTTTGATCGTGAAATAAGAGAGCATGTTTTTCTGGCATCCTGTCTGCCTGTATCTTTACATAATATTCACTTCTCAACAAGCCAAATAAGCTACAAAATCTTTAACTGAAATATAGACCTGTCATTTTTTGTACTCACCCATTTCTTTGGCCTGTAAACTTTGGGTTCCCAAATTGTAGGTGTTAAATGCTTGAATGTTTTCACATGTAAAAAAATCCCCACTTTCAGATGCATTCTGGTTGCAACTCATTTGAATTGCATAATATAAATGCCTAACAGTCTGGCTGCTTAAAAAAAGACTAATTTTCTAGGTATGGGGGGGAAAAAGCTCTTAAAGATGTTCCCACAGATATCTAAATGGGAAGGAAGTTGAGATCCCTTTATCCCATTTGCTTTCATTGAATGCTCCAGAAAAGACATTTTCTAGCTGGGAGCAAGGTGTAGGTTTAGGATGTAAGGAAATCCTGGAATGTATTCAGAGAGAATGAAATATTATTTATAAAAGCATCATTATTACATCTTAATTATTTATGTTTCAAAAAATGAATAATATATTTTCTGAGTGCTTGCTAATTATTAAATGACAGAAGTAACTCCACATTTCAACTAGCTTGCCTTTCCTGGCAGCAACTTCAAATGAAGAAACAAACAAAACTCCTGCACATTGCCCAAGACTTCTGAGAGCTCTAGTTTTTCATAATGGCCTGGTGWGGGGAACGACTCTCAAACAGGAAAATGAAAATTCCACATCATTTTGGAGCACAAAGTCCTTTAGGTCACTGGGTTATTTAGGGTGAACACCCTGTAAACCTCCCCTTTTACTTTCTCTAAGTGCAAATGTCAGTGACGTTACTTACATAGGTGACAATAATGTTCTTCTTTATATCAGCACTGTTTCAGAAACAGAAAAATATCCAAAGATTTTGTTCTCAGAAACATGTTTCCACTGTAACACCAAATTTATGAGCTTTGGCCAGCCAATGCTTGCTGCTAACATCTTCAATTTAATGGGAAATACAAATATTGCACCTAGGAGAGAATGAAAAAAAAAAAGAACTAAATTTTACAATAAGATCTACATTATCAGCATTTGAATGGGAAAAAAAAACAAAGCCTGCCAGCTATGTTTCACACTATGAATTCTTCTTACTCAGCTCCTGTTCTCTGAAAAAGGAGTTTATTGCGTTGTTGATCATATCCTCCAGTATCCCCTAGATAGTTCTCCAAGAATAAGTTTCTGTAATTGGCATTGTTCTGGGTATGGCTGTTCATGAAAATGATGTGGCAAATGGTGACATCTTTTTTTTTTTTTTTGTGAAAAGTTCAATAAACTTTGAAAAAAGATCATTGATCTTACTGATGACATAAATTTATTTCTTTCCTCCTAAGCAGAAATTTGGGACTTACTGGCCACAGAAGGTAGCACCAAAAACCTTACCAAAGCTCCTCTTTATGAGGCAGGAAAGGTGCAGAGCTCAGGCAGACCTCCTGGTTCTACTTCCAGCTGCAGGCATGATTAAAGCCTGGTGGTATTTGAAACTGCTGTAGATTGAGAGAACAGCCARGCCAAGCCTAGAGGCTTCTTTCTCTGCCTGGAGTTTATCAATTAACTTGAAGCTTTTTATGTTCCAGCTCTAGCTGGAAGCTTCATTTGAACTTCCTCCGCAGAATTTAATTCCATTTGATCTTAGAGAGACACCATCAAATAGTTTTGGTTCTATAAAGCTGAGAGATAACTTTATTGCTGTGTTTCATACCAAACTGAAGAAAACATTCAGTGATTGATGAAACATGATATTCACTGAGTTCTTTAAACMCACAATAGAGCTATGATTATTTACTTACTTAAATGATGGCTTTTTTTAGTGGCAAGGTGGTGTACCTATTGAGAAAATCCAGGTTAGATGCCAGGGAAGAGAGCGATTGCAAAGTTTCCCATTTCCGATAATTACTTTTTACTGCCTTTGCTATCTGCTTTATTAYATGTGGACAAGAGAAACCATGTGCAGTGAACAAAGCTATTTTTTTTTTTTTCTAATAAGAAAGCCTGTGCAACTGTATTAAATGGAATTTTCGTCCAATCTGCACAGACTGCTAGGTCTTACAGCAATSCTCAACCAAATTCTGAAAGAGCTGTAATTTTCGTTGCCATACTGGCAGTGCTAACAAAGTAAAAGCAGATATTGTTGGAGATGGAGTTGTAGACAGACTGGCTGCAAAGTCCAGCAGAGCCTTTGAGAAATTCTAGTCACACACATAAACTGAATTATGCAGGTCTTGTCAACAACTGCCTCAGAAGCACATAACTGGTAAGGAGGAATAAGGGAGGATAAAAGTATGTGTTCATCCTTTTAGAAAAAGGGAAAAGGAGTCTTTCATACAATGTTTGAGAACCGCTTGTAGGGGTCAGAACATTTGTAATCCCATGTCAAACCTAAGACAAAAGACATTTGACTGAGAGGATAAACAGATGTAAATACCTAAATGGCAGTTGTTGGCATCTGTCCAAAGGTTAGGGTTGTTCTCCCAAAGGTTGAGCTGGTTAGACAATTAAAACAATGTCCTCTTTTTTTTCTTTTGTGTGTATATTTCCAACCTCTCTCTCCTTCTTTTAAAATATTTCTATTTTGAAAGACAATGTGTATAAAAAAGAAAAGTAAATAAAGACATCTTAATTTTCTAAAGATCAAAAYGAGGAGATTAGACTACATTCCAGCATGTCTGAATCTATGTCCTCTCACAACCTTTTATGAAGCAGACCACAATGGTTGCCAGAAGAAAAAAAAAAAAAAAAACTACAAAAACCCAA